TTGGACCTTAATTCACGTAGCTTCATATTGCTAACAAAACCACACAATTAAGAAGACACCTGGAATTGAAGCTATCGATACAAGAAGTAAGGATTTTTCTCATTTCTTTTGCATGTGTGACCAACAGTTTGATGGATTTCAAGGCTAATTTTGTTTGATATGTGATGTGATCAGAAACCAATGTTGCAGGTACCAGAATTACTAATATACAGATTAATATGATCTTGAGAAAAAATGTCCATCTAATCATATAAATTTTTGATAGCAACGTGACCTTTCAGGGTAAACCCGCTGAGTGAGTGAGTGTTTTTTTTTCATATTTTAAGTATTCATGATGAAGAGTCAGAGAAGATTTTTTCTGATGATTTATGCTGTAGGAAGGAGCAATGCAAAAACTACCAAGGTTTTGCTTTCACTGCAGTATTCTCTCCCTGTATACTCCATAGAGCTTTCTGATTAGCATTGATCACCGCATTTATTTTCATTTATAAAATCATAATTTCTTCAACCATTTTTGTAACCCTTTCTCATTCTTCACTGTGTCAAGCTTTTTGTTGCCAGAGCAATAAGACACCTGCTTCACTGCAGTGGGACTGTGTTCAGTTTTCGTGAGAACAGAGAGACAGCAGCTCTCACACAGATTGAATTGAAGGAGCTAAATGTATTTTACAGTTTATTTGGTGAGTGCATAAAATAAATCCAATTCTGATGCTCAGCAAGTAGAGGAAAAGATGGAGAAAGTTCTATCTCATTACAAAGTAGCATACTCATTTGACAAATCATCTAAAAACATTACAACATAATGTACTTATCTATTATCATATAATATTATACATGCCTGTGTCTACTTGTAATTTGTTACTTAAACTCATAACCCAACTATTGTACATACTGGCTTGGTAATTAGTGATAAGAGATCATCTGTTTATTACACCTAACATAGTTAAAAGGCTACATGTTCACATCTTCATAAACTAGTGAACAGTGCACTAAATGTTAAATAATGTGCATTTTTAATGTAAGCAGCAAAAGTCTACATTTTACAGCATATTAGTATTTTCCTTGCTTAAAGGTTCCAGAAATAAAAAAAAACTATTTTATTTTATTATATCTGTTTATTGTTGTTGTTACATTCCACATACCGTATCTGTTTCACCATTGCATTGATCCATGTTGAAATCCCAGTACCTTTCTGTAAAGCAAAAAAAGTTGCCAAGGGCGTATCAAACATTTCATCCAATCAGATGTGCAGATGTGCTGATGAATAGAGAAAGGTGTGCGATGGTGTGCATCTGACTGTCAGTGTGAAAAATGTTTTTTCCACTTTGACTGTGGATGTGAATACATATGTGAAAACTCGTATGTCCAATCAGCAGAAGAAAATTTTAATTATAATCTCTATAATTAAAATAGACATTCAGAGAATTCAGCCAATGAAATCACTTAATTTTAAACCACATTTGCATAAACAGTATCTTCAGCGTAGCAATCATATGCAGTTAACACTTACAGCCAGACAGAAAAACAAGATCCAAAGTCTTGAAACAACAACCCACATAGCTTTCCTGCTAAAGCCTCCTTCTTATCCATCTTACAAACATGAACACACGTCTTGTCCTCTTGTCCTGCACCTCAGCTTGTTGGAACAAGCCACCAAACAAACATTAAGTGGGGAAAAGTGCACTGCTAACGTCAGTTTGCAGGCTAGTTAGCTAATTAGCTAAAAGTAAACTTAAAGACTTAATAGACAGTTGCCGTGACACAGCCGAGAAACGGCACACCCATCATCATTCAGTAACGTCCAACGTCACTGTCAACCACCACACCAATAAACTAATGGGATCACTCAGTCCGCTCTCAGCAACCTGCTCCTCTTTCACAGCCTGTTGCAGTTTCTCCCACAAACACTTCTCGGGTGAGAGGCGGAAATGTTCGAACAGCACACAGAGCTCAGTCAAACCCATACAGTCTAGGGACAAACCACCCTCTGAATTTTCCTCACCAGCGCATGTTAATGTAGCACACGTATCTTATGTCTAGTGGGACTTTTCTGAGCTTCTCTCAGCTGTCCTAAGATTTGCCTGCTTGCAAAATGACATGTACATATCCTGGTTTTTCTCTCACATCTAAAGCATATATTTCTGTGCAGTTACTCTCTGTGGTGGCTGCCAGGGTAGCGTGCCAGAGCAACAAATCAGGCTAAGCATGGTGGGCCGAGTTATTGTCTAGACAGGAACTTGGACTTGGAGATGGTACAAGTAACAGTACAAGGTCATTGTAAAAGGATTAAACGTGGTACCCAAAGGAGGCAACATCAGCTTTCTCCAGGTAATACACACAAAAGCCTTATCTACAAAAATCAAACTTTTGATGCTGAAACAAGAGATATTTTTGTAATTGATTACACTGATCAGTGCATTAGGTGATTAAATGCTTTCACAAGATTTGGCCAGCTGCTCAGTATCAAGTTCAGTTTGTTTTCCTTTAAAAATTCTTGTTTAGCTGAGTGTTACTTATATATGATCTCCACAGGCATCGATGGTCAGCCCTGACTGAGCAACAATGAAGCATCTGTGTTTGTCCACTGGCTGGATTCTTTTTTTTTTTTAAGCTAGCCTACTTATAAATATGATATAGCCTCACTTTTGTAGTCTCTTTATGCCTCTTCAGTGAATTGAAATCGGTTATATATAAAATAGTAAATATTGCAAAATAATCTGTGATATGCAACACTACATTTTGAAACTGTAACCGAGGAAAATAGTGAGGGGTTCAAATCCCAAATATTCAATTACCAATTGCCATGGGTTTCCCACAATTAATAAAATTCAGAGACATGAGTTTTGACCGGAAAGAAGATTTATTTAAACAATTTAAAAATAAAAACTTGTAGATGCCAATACTGCCAGAGATGCTAAGGGATACAAGCACACGGTTAAAAACACCTCAGCATCTACAGGGGCACACACACACACACACAGCTGTCATACACACACCACCACATGCATTGAAAGGGAAAGGGTTTCCCACAATCCACCACCCTGTCCGTCTGGCAGAACACTAAGAGGGGAAAAATGGCTAACAAGCTGAGGAAAATCGTACAGCCAAAAAAAACAGGGACAACCGCCACACCCAGACCTTGGCAGTTGGCAACCACATTCACAGGGGCCCATCCACCCATCCAAGATATGCGGACTAGGTTAATTGGTGTATGTGAGTGTGAGTGGTTGTTTGTCTATGTGTGGCCCTGCGATGGACTGGCGACCTGTCCAGGGTGTACCCCGCCTTTCGCCTGATGTCAGCTGGGATTGGCTCCAGCCCCCCCGTGACCCTGTATGCAGGATAAGCGGTTGACGATGGATGGATGGAAAAATAAATTTTGAGTATCTGACAAGTGGGCTGACCAGGCTTAGAGTAGGGGAGGGTGTAGTGAAACTGTGTTAAAAGGGAACAAAAATCCCTGCATTTATATTGGCTGCATTAACTATATTGCATTACATAGTAACCTGAGGATAATCATTTTACAAATCTGATGTAATTAATCTAATAACACTATTAAAGTTTGAAACCAGGAATCAGAAAAGTCTCCTGGATCTGCCTGAGAAACTGGTCCCCACCCCTGTGAGCACACGCACACACATACACAGAAAGAGAGCAGCAGCAGTTCAGTCAAGCAGCTTGTAAAAAAGATGGGAGCAGAGAGAAAGCTGGCTGAGCTGGCTTCCCCCTGCAGACTCGGCAGTGTAACCACTATTAGACTTCGATGAATCTCAAACATTGATTCCACAGAGATATTAACAGCTATGCAAAGCTATGACTGCAGCCCTTACTGTGTGGAATATGACGAATTCTAATTACAGACTGAAGCTAATTATGCTGTGTTAACTTCTGTGTTTGCAAGGGAAAATCTTTGCAGCCCTTCTGAGGAGCTCCCTCTGCATGATTTACCTACTGTATAAAAACTGATCTAACTGAATAAATTCATCTCCACCTTCATCTTTGCTGCTGCCCCTCTCTCTCTTTCTCTCTCTCTCTCTCTCTCTCTCTCTCTCTGTCTCTAATTCAACATCGCACTCTCTAAAGTCAGTTTGATTGAGTATCTTTTTCTCTCTTGTGTACTCAGCAACAGCCTCCCTCCTCACCCTCACTCAGACACACACACTCACACACACTGCCTGTATGCGGCTGCCTGAACGCATGAAACACTCTGAATGAGGCGACTGGTCCTCTGGATTCTTATGATCCTTCATTTTGAGGTAAGGCTGGACTCTCTGGTCAGTACCATACATCTTAGAGACCCTGAGGGACTCTAAGTGGTATTAAAACGGGAACACTGAGGCTGTGGCTCGGTTGCAGCAGCAGCGGCATCAGCACTGTTGGCACTTAATACAAGCCATATTACAATTTCCATTTGTCCAGTGGTGTATAATCTGTCTGGCATTCTGTGTTACAGTCTGAGGTGGAGAGATAAACTTGCAAATTAGATGCTTTGGTGTAAGGCATCTTGTCTGGTACAGGCTAATCAATGTTGGATGAGCAGTTTGCACATTCAGATGATATTTGTACTTTGGCCAGAATTATGCTGGTAAACAAGAATATGGGATCATTGTGTTCTTTAAGTAATTCATGAACTCTAAGGACTGTTTCTCACACATGTATCGTTGTATTTGTCAAATGTTTTCATGGTTGTTTTACAAATGCATGAATAGTATCTAAGAACTTAGTGATCTGGTGCCAAAATAGGTATGAGTTTTGCATACTGTTAACTCCTGGCTGCGATTTGTTCAATTTAGTAAGTGGACGGTCGCTTTGTGTATTCCCAGCAGCTGTAAAGCAAGTGTATATTTTGCTGTCACCGTGTGACAGTTTATTGGTCTAGTTTTGGCTCAGGACCAATGGGTCTGCTGACTAAAGAGATGCACTCACCGAACTTTAGAAGACGGGAGCTTGTTTGCTTTATTTTATTCTGGCAGTCCAGTGATGCAGAGTGAATTGCAAGTAGCAGGCCTACTGATCAAATCGATCAAAATCTTTCCATTTTAAATAATTCCCGAAATGAACAATGGGAGTGGATCACTTTCCTCAACTCCATTTCTTTAACAAGGTCAAGATGCGTCAGAGGGCAGAGCCTTAGCTGGAGCCGGCAATGACAAACATCATCACACTGAACCAGGTTTCACAGCTGGACATCACTTATCCAAGGCTTCTGCTTCTTCTAATGTTCACAAAGATCTCATAAAGAAGTTCATACCTGCTGTATTTGGAGGTCCTTCACCATATTTGTTCTCCGACTGATGATTAGCATCACCAAAAGGAAATAACATCTTCATCTACAATGTGGCATTGTTTCCATCCACAGCAGGAAATCCCCCCTTTTCTCCATCCACAGTTGTGGGTGGAATAACAAAGCTGATCCGTCTGTCATCATAAACTAAAGGCTTACATGGTGCATATGGATTAAAGGATGGCAACAATCAAGACAAAGTAGCAGCAGGTGGCTTTGGTTCCACAACATTAGCAACTCTGTGTGCGACACTGTCACGCCTGATAGCTTCACCTTGCTGTTGACTGTTGCCAATCATCGAGGGTTATCCTCACTAATGACGTTTGTGTTGTTGTTCATCTCTTATTTAGAACAACTTATGTAAATGCCAAACTGCATATAAAAATACGTTTCTCTGGTTCTACGTAGTGTCCCCTCCTTCAGAGTGTGAGGTGGACGGGCTCCCCAGTGGTTACGGATCCAGGGACTCCATCCTCAGGCCGGGTGTGAAGAGGGACTGGAAAAGACGAAGACGTGGGCAACTAAGGCGGATTAGCAGGTAAACTCAACTACTATGGGTGCATTTGTCTGTGTATTCATGACACGGATCATTCATACTTCACATTGTCAGGCAGGTCACGTGACGGGCGTTTTATCTTGGATTTTGCATTTACTTTGTGTCAGCAGTGTCAGTCCATTTAATGCCTCATGTGCAGCTAATAGGCTAGCTGCTGCAGGCGTGTATACATCTGTCAGGTGCTGTGGTCAGTATAAAACCATTGTGTTTGCTTGACTGCTGATGTTTCAGCTGCAGCAGCTGGGATCCAGGCCACACCAGCACTGAGGCTGGCAGAGAGAAACAGCAGCCTACGTTTGGACTGAGTGGAGGTGCAGCAATGCGCTGCTCCACCTTGCTGGGCATCCTCGTGGGTGTGCTTCTCTACTTGGTGCTGGGAGCTGTGGTGTTCCGCGCCCTGGAGACTCCACGAGAGGAGGGCAAGCACATGCAGCTGCAGGACACCCGCAGGGATTTCTTGTTGAACTTCACCTGCGTCAGCCCAGACAACCTACAGACTCTCATAGAGGTACAGCAGATCTATTCATGACAAGAGCCACTCTTTTGACAGCTAAGCTATTCTTCCCCTTTGTTCTTACAGTATCCAGTGGGCGGGGCATCGTGGTTGGTAGATGACCTCAATTGCTTCTTCCTCTTGTTTTACTACTGTTTGCGATGCCTCATCACAGGTTATGGGCTTGAGTTGTGAGCACTTTTACCAAACAGTGATTTTCCTTCCCAGATCATGTCATTTGAATGATTTTTGCAGGCCAGTTGTGGTAAATGTATTCAGTATTTCTCAAAAAAGCTAACATTTTGTGGTTTTTCCCCCTGTGTTATCACTTAATGTATTTTGTGACCCTGTAGGTATATATTCGTGCAAAAATTCTTTGAGTTACTTTTGTGTACTATACCTTGAAATTGATATGTGAAAATTTAATTGGAGCTGATCATCAAGTGAAATTTTATGTTTACTTTTTCTACTATTGGTTAGCTACTTGCATCCAACAAACAACATGGTCTCAGTAACAGAACCTACAAATCGTGCGTGCAAATGTGAATCTGCCAGTGAACAAAGTTACAGGCAGTTATTTATAGATTAACAAACTTCCAAGACCAGAAACATGGAGGCTGACACCTCTGGTGTCTGTGTCTCTGCTTCACGTTTTATAGGCTATTCACTGGGAACTTGGTTGACTACTGTGGGTCATCAAAGTGGCCCTTTAGATTTGTATGGTGTTTGGTGCCGGTCAGTGAAGCTCTCTCTGCTGTGGACCCATACAGCATGACCGTGAGCCAGAGAACAGGTGCAGTCAGAGCAGCTATATAAGGGGCAGGTCTACTGTATGTGTGTGTGTGTGTGTGTGTAAGAGCATGAAACCTGATCCATGCATAGGTTGAGCATTGAGTGTGATCCTGTGATGTTTGTCCTCGCTCCAGAATGAAAGTTGTAAATTCTGTTTTAGCTTGCAAAGTAAACAATAGATGTAGTAGCTGACATTTGCAGAAAGCTTGAAGAGACTGAGGTTTCATAGTATCACTTGTCATAATTGCACATTTTATTTATTAATGCCACTTTTCACAACAGTGGTGTTGTCAACCTCACCGCCTTCACACCTTTCAGATTATCATATATCCCGTCTCTCTGTTAAGCTAGCAACTGCCTTTAACCAGCTCTCCTGTTAGCTAGATCAACAGCAATCCTGAAGTTATCCTTAATTAATAATAATTAATTGACTAGAGGCAGCTGCTGTTAATAAACGCAGTAAATAAACCTCTTTAGCTTTTAAGCCTTACCGTTAGCTCAACAAGGCTTCTCATGCTACCCACCAGGCACAGAACGCCGCCATTAGGCTATTACTTACTAACCAAGTACAGAGCCAGTGTTAACAGTGTTAGCTAGCTCCTGTTGGCCAGAGCATTCACAGAGACTCTTGTCTTTTTGTTCTTAACAGTCTGTCTCTGGGAAATATATTTAGATTGTAAAGGTAAACAGCCAATAATCTCTTCTCTTTGACGCTGAGTAATGAACTAAGCTCAGGACCTACCTGGTTAGCCAGCTAGGTGGATAGCATGTGCAGAATTGATAAGCTAAATACATAAAAGGACTTTGTTAATGTGCTTATTAGCAGTAGCTAGATATCTGATTCAGAATAACGCTGACATTGTTGTTGCTCGAGCTAACACAGGAGCTAATTGGCTAAATATGGGAGCACTTGTTGAGCTTAAGAGACAGATGACATGGGATATGTCTAGTTTTTCATAATGGAACCATATCATGAAATAAAAAGTGACATTAAAAATGCCATTATGAAATAAAAACAGATATAAAATAAATTAAATACAAATCTATTAAACTCCTATAAAAGTCTGTTATTATGAAAATTTTAATGATTAAATAACATTTAATTTATATTATTTCACAAAATATTGTTTGATTTATATACATTACGCAATGTATTCATTCTATTTTATGAATACTTATTTTGTTTATTTAATATTAATAACACTTTAATAAAAGAGTGAATGATTAAATTCAGACTAATAAGGACGAAGTCTAACAACTCATTCATAAAAGGTTGATGCAAAGCGTCTGTTAGCTTTCTAAAACAAAAGCTTCAACATTATTAGAACAGTAAAAATACACTCACATAATAAGCACCCAGTGATTTGATCTGTTGCTTGTGATCTAAGCCAATCCTCAGGGCTGGTTTTCCTGAAAAAAAAAACAAACAAAAAAGATTAATTCATAATGAGATAATGAAAATGATTATTAGTTTCAGCCCTAAAATATATTTCAAGCTATCTGTAACATAAGAAAGACCTGTGCCACCCTTGTCATTTGACATTTTCTGCTTTTTAATTTGACTACCATACGAAAAAAATAATCTTCCAATGGTTTTGTTCTTCAGTGGTGCACTCAAAAACATAGATTGAAATACTTACTATATTTCTCCCTCTTACTTCTACTTACTAATCTTACTTCCTGCATTATTTGATCATATTAAAGCTCTGAAATGCACAGTCCCACAGAATAGAACGTGAGACAGTATTGTTTTTCTGGCTCCAAATAGTTCCGAGGCAGAGGTGCACATTGCTAACCTCAAAATTAACCTGAATTATTTTATTTATTTATTACTTCTTTTAAATTAATGTAAGCCAGTTAAAAATAAAATAAATTCAATTCAATGTTAGCCTACTTTTTTTAAAAAGGTGAATAAATAAAATTACTGAATATTAAATTTACTGTCACATGAAAATAATAAACAAGATAAAATAATAGTGAAGTAACTGAACAAATTTCACACCTCAAAATAGGCTCCTCCAAATGGTAGGGAAGTCTTCACATGGAAACCTGAAGCTTAGCAAACTATTGGCCGTTCGCACACTAATTAGAAGCCTCAGCAATTCAAATTATTGCACAGTTGGAATCGGAAAACATTCTAAATCAATCAGCTACCCCAAATGAGTTGGGACAGACATATTCAGTGGCGTCAGTCCAACAGACAGGATCAACCAGACACAGCCCTGTCTCTGTGATCATAAAATTTATCACAAGTAATAATGTCTGCAGGGACCATGTTCAATCACAACTTTATCATATTCAGCTTTAAATTCAGAGTTAACAAATGTCTTCAAGTACCAACTGACACAAAACCAATAATTAGATTGGGGAATTAGATTATGTGAGCTTGCCGTGGTTCAATACTCTCGGGCCAGAACGGAGCCGTCACAGTTGTAAGTCACTTCTTGTCATTGACTGTCTGCTGCTGATGCAGTGACAATGCATTTCCTGCAGCATTTACATTACTGGAGGACATAAAGCCCTGCAGATAAATAGATAGATCTTTCATTGAACAATAAAAAGAAACTCATGCTCATGTGCGTGCCTTTTGAAACTTTCAAAATGTCAGAAATGGGTCATGTACAACTTGAATTCATTGATGGGTTGATTTAGTAATTTGTAAGGTTTTGCTAACCCCTCTTCTTCCTATTAAATACCAATTTACTGAACTGTTTCATAAACTAACTACTAAACTCCACTGTCCCATCCCAGGAAGTGGTGGAGGCGGTCGGTGCAGGTGTTGATCCCAACAGCAATGTCACTTATGTCAGCCAATGGGATCTGGCCAGTGCCTTTTTTTTCTCCGGGACAATCATCACAACCATCGGTGGGTGTCCAGTAGAACCACCAAATAAAGTCAGATTAAATGTTTGTGATGGAATCGGTTTCATTTCTGACCTTTACATTTTGTGTCTTCAAATCAACATGTCCAGGTTTTGGAAACATCTCCCCCAAGACAGAAGGAGGGCAGTTGTTCTGCATTTTCTACGCCCTGGTGGGAATCCCGATGTTTGGTTTCCTGCTCGCTGGAGTCGGAGACCATTTGGGAACTGGGCTGAGGAAAGCTGTTGCCAAAATAGAGGATCTCTTCCGGGTCAGACCCTAAACAGAGCTTCCAATGTTATCTTTGTCAGCACTGTACATGTACTTCCCTTTATTTGTCTCATCCCACTATGTTGTTTCACCCTGCCGACAGAAATGGAAAGTTAGTCCAACCATTGTGCGAGTGATCTCAGCTGTCCTGTCCATCCTGCTGGGGTGCCTGCTCTTTGTTGCAGTGCCTATCCTGGTTTTCCAAAAAGTGGAGCAGTGGACTCTTTTGGAGTCTGCCTACTTTGTAGTTATTACCCTGACAACAGTGGGGTTCGGAGACTATGTTGCAGGTACAAAACAGTTAATCAACTACCCTCGTGTTTCTTAACATACCCTCAGGTGTGCACAAACGTTGGTCCAGTGATAGCTTTATGTCGGGGAAGCAGCAGGAAGGAGAGTAAAACTAAGATAAATTATTTTATCCATGAAAATCAGTAACCTCCTTAACACTAATACAGTAATACTCAGGGAAATGGTAAGGCATGAGGGAGACCTGTCTGCATGCAGAGTTGAGACTAGGGTTTATTTTTGCCCTGGGGTCACGTCAGAGCTGAATTTGAGCTGACCAGAGGGGCACATCAGAGGCCATGCCGCATAAAAATATATGATTGGTGCACTGATACAGCCCCATTAAATAGCCCACAGAGTATTTTTTTAAAGAGGGCATTTTCACACTCAGAGCTTCCTATGCACACTGCTGATAGCTTCACTGGACATGCTTACGGATCAATAAAATTTGACTCAAGACTGTTCCCTGTGTGTTGAAGGCAGACGAACTGGAAACACAGCTTCCGTTACAGTCTAATTAGCTTGCATCTGACTTGTGTTTGCTTTTGCATATTTTTATTTTTTCGTTGAATTTATTGATCTGTAGGTGAGTTGCTTGTATGACTTAATTAGTCATCTATAAATATAACTGTCAGTTTTAATGCAGTAAGTTCACTTAGCACAGACAATTTTCATTTACCTCATAAATTATTAATGATTTTTGTCTCGTAAGAGATGAATTATCGATGATCTAATCTGCTATGTAGTATCTCTTATCTTTGACAGGATGAATGGATGTTAGAACGCATTGGCTTTACCGACTGCTACTGTATACTGTGTCTTTGTATCTTCTCAAAGGGGATTCTGGAAATGAGGGGAGTGAGCACTGGTATAAGCCTTTGGTGTGGTTCTGGATCTTGCTGGGTCTCGCCTACTTTGCATCTGTCCTGACAATGATTGGTAACTGGCTTCGGGTTCTATCTAAAAAGACCAGAGCTGAGGTACGTCTTCTTTTCCCATCTCTCATATCATGTCTTTTCTCTGCCACTTCCATCATCTCTGGTTTCATCCCCTTCTATTAGATGGAGGAACTTCGAGCCCACGCCACTGACTGGACTCAAAACATCCAGAATATGTCGGTGGATTTTCGCATTCCAGGAAAAATTGATGACCCCTTCAGACGGCGTCGGCGAAAGCGCCGCCACGGCCCTCGCAACCATAGTCACAGTGTGTCAGCTACCGGGGCCCCTGACCATGAGGGAAAAGAAGAGCCACATGAGAGTCAGACAGACTCTGGTTCTTACTCTTCTTCCTCTTCGTCTTCTAACGAATCAGGATCTGGATCAGAAACAGACTCTCAGGCCACTCAGACGGAGCGAGTGCCTGAACCAGAGCCTGAAAAGGAGGAGACTCCTGCTGATCCCCACCTGTCTCAACCGCTGGACTACTTTGGGGAGAACCTTGCGTTTATTGATGAGTCTTCAGACGCTCAGAGTGCTAAACTACACTTAGACCCTCTGCTGGATAGAACACAACCCAACTCTGCAGGCTCTCGTCAGCCCAAGAGGAGACGCCACCGAAGACCTGTTCCACAGAGAAGCCCCAAAATCAACTGCTCCAACCCTGACAAGAAGGAGTCCAATGGAAACCCAAAACCAGTTCCAGATCTACCACTGAAGCCTTAAAATTGTTCTGCTAGCACAAGTATCGACTTGAGAGATATGAGATTTGTTCATAATCTGACAGAAGAGTTATCAGTGCAGCAATTGATTTGTGTTTATGTACTGCTTACTTACAGACACTTAAGACATGTTGCAGAAGCCTTGTGGTTTGCGTTTAATGCTCTTAGCATGCTATGTGTATATGCCTTAATCAAAGATGATGAAGTGATTTTTATGCCAATGTTCCCATTACTTTCTGAGTAGTTACTGCTCTCTGCTGGTCCAAGACAAAAATGCACTACCACTCTCTCAACATGAGGGTTCCCGCCTGTTACTAATCCAAATAGTGTAAGAAACAAGGGGGAAAAAACATGTGGGCAGAAACTTGCAGCAGCAGAGTGGCGCTCATGTTGAAGAGAGGCTGCTTTGGTCATGAGACTCTTGACCCTTGAATCCTGCCAACAATTAAACGGGTACCAAACATCCTCTTCTACATTTTTGGTATGTAACAAAAAGTTTTTTAAAAGCTGTGTACAACCATTATTTTTGCATTTTGATGGCCAGATTAATTAATCCTGCTGTACTGCATATATGTAATAAAGTTTTTCTAAATGAAAGCAGCACTGTGTCTTACAATCCATCCATCCATCCATCATCAACCGCGTATCCTGCGTACAGGGTCGCGGTGTCTTACAATCATGTTTAGCAAATTATTACAAGTACTTCATTTCTAAAGATGCTGTTCCAGCCCATCAGCTTCTCAGGGAAACATGATAATGGCTGTTGAACAAACAAAGGAAAAAGTAGGTCAATGTTTCTAACAAAGCTGCAGTCAAAGCATAAGGTGCATTAGGGAGAGTTGAATCACAATGGGGGTTTTAAATGTTTCTCTCGAGACCAAAAACAAATCACTCAGCCACTGAAATCTGTTCTGATCTGGTTACAATATATGTCCCAAACTTATTGCAGCAATGTGAGCATGCATTCACAGCACCCAGCATGAAGTGTTTTTTTTCTCTCTCTAATAAAGAAAGAAAGAAAGAAAGAACGCAAAACAGTTTTGTCAGTAAACTGATCGATAGGCCTAATTTGTGCACAGAGAGGGAGGAAAGTGTCTCATACTTTTCTGCCGAGGATGAAAATATCCATGTGGCTTTAATGCTCAGAATAGACCAGAATATGTTGGTGAGACAGGTCACAGAGGTCCTGCATGATTTGAATAACATCCATGCAGTAATGTTTTGTGAATGTACTGTTTAAATGCCCTTCAAGTTGTCAATATAGCCCTTTCAGCATGTGCTGTCACTCCTCAGTTGATCCACGTAAGTGATACTCCGCTGGAAACTCTACCTTTCAATCTGAAAATGGCACCAATGACAAACATGGTGCAGGAGCAAATGTTTGACTGACGTTATTTTCTTGTTAGGAAAAGCTGAGGTGCCTTAATGTCACAAAACATCTGATACATAAAAGTTGAAGTTGTTACTAAAATACAATTACCCTCCACCCTCTCTAAGAAAATGACTGCAGATTGTTTTATCTTTGAACACAACCAGCAGATGGCATACATTCCCTCCCTATGACAGTCCAAGACTTATTCTTCACACATCCACGGTCTTTGTCTTTGACTGCATTTGACTTGCATGTGTCTGCTAGTGACCATCTAAAAGATTTAAATGGGACAAACTGCAGTCTGCCTTTTGTTCCCAGTGCCGTCGTGTTTTTAGGGTGAGTAAGCAAAATGTTTTAAAGCAGCAAAAACCAGGTGAATGTTCATCTACCGTTCGGAAATCTGACACTTTCCTGCAGGATATGTAAAAAGAAATGGCAGCATTCTGGCATTGCAATCAGGAAGTCAGCAGGCGGTGATGATGTGCTGTGGCAGTGGGTGACCTTTTACTGGAGGACACACACTCAGCTGTTGTAACGTCATCAGTGCCGTTGCTGCAGTTTCCCTGTGCTGCCACAAGAGGGCAAATAATGGGCATCTGTAGTGCTGCTGTAGGCTACACTCCTGACCTGGAGTTAAAGGGTAAATCCATCATTAATTAGTATCCAAATATGTTATTTCTATGTTGTTTTGCACATTCCAGGATTGCACCAGTATTTCCTTCAGTTGAGCGACAGAGACAGAAACTGCAGTGATCATCTCATTTAGAGACAAATCCTGGAGCTGCTACACAGTGGGGACATTTTCTAATTCACAAAGGGGCTCACTCAGTTGGATGAGACATCTTAAACTACACCTCAGTCATTTCAGTGGCCTGACACTCCATTATTGATAATATCAATAGCATAATGTTTATCCTGTTTTAGGGTGAATTTTTCCTTTAAATTTAATATAAATGCATTGGGTAATTAGACGTAAACGTAGCAGCACAGACATTAAGCTTGTGTAAGAAATTATAGCATCCCTTGTGTTGCCTTTAATCCTTGTCATGATTTACTCTTGTCACCTGTTCATCCATTTGCCAAGTCTTCTGATGGTTCTGTTTCTAGTTTAATCCTTAAAGCCACTCTGCATTCCGTCCAATATAGGCTCCTAATAATGATTATACACTGATCAAGGTGTTTATAGTATAGGTGGAGACTGTTCTGTATCGGTTTTGTTAATCTGTGACTCACTGATGCAGTGCCCGATGCTATTTGTACTACAGGCACAATGGTTCCTTGGTATTTCTGTAGCCAATCGGCTGACACCTGTCTGAGGTCCTGACCTGCTGTAAGGAGCACGCTGGGACCCCGGCTGGCATTCACAGTGTGTCTCTACTCCTCCACTCTTCATAGCTGGAACACATATCCCCAGCGACTACACACTGTCCTGTACAACAGCTGTCTACTTATAATATTACAATGCAGTAAATCTGAAAACATAAACCAAATTCAATTTCCTGGTTTTTGAGTGAATCCAATGAATATAGCTTGCCCGCTTTCGCCTCTAACAGGATGATAATGCAGACTCTGCACCAGTATGATGCAGCCACGAAGAATTGCAGTGTCTGCAGCAGAGACTCAGTGACCTTGCTTCAAGGTCGCAATGACACTGCCGTCAGTTTTTCCTCTCATGCGCGCACCACGAAAACCCTGTCCCGAGCCCCAAGCCCGCTGCATACATGTGACCACATCAAGACGCATACACACTGCTGTCCTGCACCTCTGACACAGTGAGTGGAAAATTATGTGTGGCTTTAGCGCTTATTGGTTTAAACCGACTAGACTGACGTTTATTGGTCTACAATTACAGGCAACTCTGAGCTCTTTGGGGAAATACTCACTTATCCAAATTAGCCTACAGCGTGGGCTCGTACATTTTCTTTTTATCCAACGTCCTGTTTTTATACTTCCTTTTTTATTAGTGGACAAGGTTGCCAACTTTACTGTGACAACTTCCTTCATCTTTGCGCCAGCTGTTATCGGGCACGTTGGAGAGCGCAAATCATTTTACATTAAACATACTCGCACACAAGGGACCTTTCAGACATGTTTGATGATAGCCTTTTTTGATAACGCATCTATTGCAGGCTACTGTTTTTTTTTTTTTTCAAACCAAGTTACTATCCCTTCATCAACATATTTCCCTTTCTCGTCCAATTGCAGTGATCTCCTGATCTCCTCTTCCTTGGCTCCTGTCCAAATGTAGTGGCGGACAGAGCCGGGTCAGTGTCACAAGACCGACTGCATGACTACATTTTCCATAGAGGTGCGCTGCAAGAGACACGCAGCCTGTTATTTCCATTCGACCTGCAGCAGCCCCCAAAGTATAGTAGGCTATCTAAATAAAATATCTTCACGCAAGTCTAACAACCAATCTAATAGGCCTACTCGTACGGTAGATCTATTTTACCACAACAAAACTACTAGGTAGGCTACAGGAAGACAAACGGCAGCCTCGTAAGGCCAAGAAATGTAGGCTACGTTTAAACGTATAAATAGCCCTTGGTTTTCAGTGGACTGAATTGGTTGCTGCGGGAAAATCTCCAGATGTAATCAAGTGGCGCGACATAACTGTTTTGTAGACAGCTGATCTGAAATCAACACTCTTTAAGTAGCGTGTCTAAATAAATAAATAAATATAAAGGATTAACGAAGACCGGGTCATATTTTTTTCACGAGTTGCAGGCCCTTGTTATAATGCTGATGACGCTGGTGGAAGGTGCGTAGGGACGTAACGGACACACAGCAGACGCAAATTGGGGAGAGGGAGGAGAAAAGACACGGGGTAGAGGCCTACGTAATACATCCATGATGGTCAACGCAGCCAGGAAAAGCGAGTAAGGGACCGGAAGTCACCTCGTTAAAATAAAACCGTGATTTGTGTTCATTTCAGGAATATTGACAGCCGTTTGAGTCTGGGGAGTGTTTTGCAAAATTAGGTAGTAGATAATAACCCTCTGATATTCGACCCCGTTTCGCTCGGGGAAGTTGTCTGGCTCGAGAAAGGTTAGAAATGTTACGTGAGTCGACGACGTTTTATTGTGATACACTTTTTAACCGGACACTCTGTGGTTCTTCTTGACGTATTGACGCTGATGTCCAATTACAACCTGGTTGTTGTAGCCGAAGACGAGAATTTATAACACAAGCGTAAGGAACCGAACAGCCGGACAAGACAGCGTGTCGCCGGTTGTTGTTATCACCTTATTATACGGTAACGGAGTGATGAGATGTGAGACGCCCTGCGAGGCTTGGACAGCGCCGTTAAACCGGTTAAACCGACTGTGGACGACTTGCCAGCCGCGAAGACTTGACTGACCTCAGGTAAAAAAAAAAAACCCAAACACACACAACAACCCTGCGACGTTTTTACATTTCCCAGTAAGTAGCTTTACTCCCCTTCACTGCAGACACAGAGCACACAGTGGGTTTAGGCTGTTATTCTTCTTTCTGCGGAGATGTCAGCTGTCTCAACGGTAGCCTGATGTGCATGCACGATTCGCCTGGCAGAGCTAAGTTCGCGTGGCCACGTTATTGGGGACAGGGGGCACGAGCCGCCGAATAAATATTTAGCAGTTTGTGTAATCATTTGTAGTCCTACAACCTTTATGTCCAGGTTACAACCCACTCATAAACTACTTCTGACTAATTCACTTGTAAATTAATGATGTAAAACACTATGTAAATCTCTAATCGCCGGCACCCCCAAAATGTCCTAAGAAATGGGATGCGTGGTCACTTTTATTGAGTGAAGAATGCAGTGCCGTGGTTGAATACGATGCAGCGGATAAATGTCCTCGTTTGGCTCGCCGCATGTCGCCCTCACTTAAAAAGGCGAGTCCTGCGTTGGCAAATGACAGTCCGCACTTCTGCAACTGTAGCCTACACACTTAAGCTTTTTTTTTTTTTTTTTTTTTTAGACCTGTGTTTAACCCCTGAGTTATTATTCTTTATGTCTTAACACACTGAACTCTGCAAGTCTCCGAGCCTGCTGGACCAGGATTGAGGTCACTGATCTTAAGGCATAATCCACTATGGCAATTAACCTTTCACCGGTTCGAGATCAGTAGGCAAGGTCACCCCTGGCTGCTGTTCTCGCCGTCTCCACAGTGCGCCGCATTTAAAACCTTCCAACTGAGTTTTATGTAGCCTACAGTCAGTGTGATGATTATCAGAGTCAAAGACCACCGGTGCCCCCTAACAACAGTATGACAAGAAAGCTTTAAAACCTTTAAAGACAAACGGAGGACCGGTTTATGTGCTCTGACTTCTCATTGCAAGGGAATGTCTGAGTTTATACCAATTACAGAGTTTGTTTAATCATGTGCTGTGATTAAAAGCTAAAACCACATCTTTCATTTCAAGTAATTGTCTTTTTTTGAAATGTCACTTTAAAAAAAAAGTTGACAGTTCAGATCGCTTCGAAAGAATATGACTAAAGTATCAGTTTGTTTCCACTTATCACAGTCTTCTTGCCCAAGTTTAAAGTAAAAAAAAATAAAGTCCCTCTTTGCTGCAATTTGGCATTTAATTGTCTACTTTTTCAAAAGTCTGCGGCCGGTTTACATTTGAAAGAGTAGGCTAAAACACCTTTTCATGTAATGCTGTGTTTATTAATGTTTATTAAAACCGGTCTTTTTAATTATTTACAGAGAGTTATCACCACACTTCAGCTTATGACTTTGTATATGAGTGAGGGACAAGGTGTTGGCTTTACTTGGTCTGTCCTTCAAGCATTCCTGTGACTGTGACCTTTGGAGTGAGTGTGTCACGCAGCATAAGGGGGAGGGTACTCGAACAGCCTGCAGAAATCTGGATAGATACAGTCAGTGTTACGATTATTCACATGGGGGGGAAACAAAACTATTGCCAATATAGAGGTCTTCTTCGGTACATGTGAGGACTGGCACTGCTATTATTGTTTAGAGCGTAGAGTACAACTTGTTTTGAAACATCACAGTTAATGAGGCTGGAACAATATGTGGGTTTGTGACCATTAAATTTACAAATGGCAGGTGGGAACATGAAAAGTGACTTGGCTCTAAGTTATGGGATGGCGCTCATAAACCTTTGCTTTCTTTGCAGGTGTCCTGAGAACTGCAGACTTCAACCCAAAGCAATAGCACTACGTTGAGCTACCGCTGGGAGTCACACATTTACAGGCTTCGAACTCCAGCTCAGCAAACAGGTAATCTGGTTTCACATCACCTTTAATGCTGATGAAATATCATGCCATGCTTCAACTAGACTTACATCTGTGCTTTTGTGTTGTGTTGCCAGGTGCCTCAGAGGTCTTATAAGGCTGTGTTAGACTTTTAGCGGGCAATGTTAACGTCTCCTTTAGAGAAAAGAGAAAAGAGGGCATGCTGAAGGAGAAATGCAGCAAAAACAATGTAGAATGATTGTGAAGGTGTTGGCTTCTCATTTCACATTAAAACTATTAGCAGTGGCTAGAGATACCATTGTGTGTACCGCTCTGTTGCAATCAAGCATCTCTATAGGGCACATGGAAAGGGAGGGGCTTTGACTGCCCTGCAAACCCAGAAAGTATAAACAAGGGACAAGTAGTCTATGTAGGGGTTGAAGGGACTAAGTAGTATAAATAAATGTGAGAATGTCCAAAATCCTGTGTGAGGAGAAAGGAGCAACCGAGGTATCAGTGTGTAGGGGCCCAGTGATGCCATAACTTGTATGCAGCCTGGGAATAAAAATAAAAGCTTTCCGCATAGGAAGTTCATTTCTGACCTTGCCAGTCAGCTTATTATAGGCCTATATCAAGTTTACAATTAGGACTGAACATATTTCTCCAATGTCACCACTAAAATACCCTTTGTGATGTTCCTCCATTATATCAGAGTGCAAGTTTTTCCTTCAAAACTCAAAATTTCTGAGTGTGTGGCGTAAAATACATGACATTTAGTTCATTTGGCAGCTAAATCATGATGAAAGCTGACCTTGTCTGATACAGAGCCAACGTGTGTCCAGAGTGCGCCTTGAACTAATGTGTTTCAGCTGCAGTATCTCCATCCATATAGTTACCCGACCAGCTGTTAGAGAAAGCCGATTGTAGCCCGGCCCATCTCAACACACAGCCAACACGAGCTAGCAGACGCTGCCAGTCTCTAAACCGATTTTCTGTCAAACCTGTGCCATGATATCACACCGTGGGCAGACTTAAGTGCCGTGCTAACGCCGTTATCAGGTAAGATGTAGCCGAGTCCTGGCTAGAGTGACAGAAATAAACGTCAGCCCCAGGGGGAGAGAGCTGGTCAGTCAGGATTAACGCTAGCTACGGCTAGCTTAGTTAGCTAAGGGCAGCTAACCTACAGTGATAATGTGTCCGCTGCTGTTGAAGCTAATGCTAACGCTACTCCAAACATGCTGGTTACACACGGACACGTTTCTGTGGTGAGATATATAGATAAAAGACTAATTCAGCCAACCTCGGCTGGGTTTAAGCGCTGTTTAATGTGCTTTAATCAAACGATCAGTAACAATGCAGCTTTTATCGTTTACCTTTGAACATTTTCTTTACTGAAACTGCTGTTCCTCATTTGCCAAAGCAGATGTGGAACTGGCCAGCTGTGCACATGGTAGAGGGATACTTGTTGGTCTGCTTCGAGTCAGAGCAAAGCTGAATCACACTGTAGATAATCTGGGCTCATGTACTAGTCCTGATGTTATTTATTGGTTGATCCATTCACTGAGCTTGTAAACTCAGTCCAAGTAAGCTAAACTTTAAACAGGCCAGGTTTGTTGTGACCCTCTTGCTGCTTGCCAAAAAGTCCAGAGGGGGCAAACTCCATAGAAAGCGTTGACTGCCAGCTACTATAGGATTAGATTATCTGATGTAGCAATAAATATGATAAAGACATAGTTGCTTTGCAATGAATGCCATGTGGAGCAGGCATACAGCTCTTGGTGTTGTGAACCCAGGGCGGCAGGTAAAAAGTCTTTATCTACAACCTCACTTCCCATGTAGTACATCTTTTATTGTCTATATGTAAAGCACACAGTCTTTGAGATTTAGTTTGCAAGTTGACATCCAGGAACTGACTCAACCATTCCTCAGTCATGGCATTATTGCAGTGGGAGCCCAGTTTATATGCCTGATAATGAACAGCTTTAATCAGCTTCAAATCACACTGTCATGTTCATGCACTGACTGAAGGTTTAGAGGCATACGTATTAACAGATCAGTTAATAGGGAGTGTCTATTAGTAAAATGTTTATGTAGTGAAGCGCAATAAGAATGTTTTTCTTAGAGTTGTGACCAATAAATGTACTCTGTGATGTGAAGTGTATCAGGATGTAAAGTTGTCAATAGTTGGCTTATTATAGATGTTTATAAATGAGTGACCTATATTGATAACTCGGCAGATTGACATAGACAAATGGCACGCACCACAGGTCAGGACTGAGCTGTTATTGATTGATTGTTGACTGATATGTTTGTTGTCAAGGTGATGGTTAATGTGTTCAGAGAGTGAATCATAATTATAATAATCAAAACAAGCAATTTAATCGTCTGTACAGTGTGTACCATAAAGTAAATAGCAAGAGCCTTGTACTCTTTATGCCAAACGCACATACATTTATTTAATTAGGCCCGGGAACTCATACCCGTGTGTACAGAACACATAACTGCTTGTACTGTTATCATTGTGGCGAGGGATTGGAGCATTGAACCGACCATAAGCAATGCATTTTAAATATTGCAACACTAAATATACAGGCTGCCACTGGCCCAGCTGATAAACAAGAGGAAAATATTGTTGGTAACAGCAGTGGATTGCCAGTATGTAGACAGAAGTCTTAACTGGATTGAGGCTATTTAGGCCGTCCTCACGCAGCGATCTAGTAAGTTGGAACAAGAGCACAATCGTTGAACTAAGGCTCTGCATTAATGTATCCATTGATGAGTTGAAGCCCAGAGACAGACATGGCGCACACTACAATTCATGCCCCTGCCCTATTGATCCCCTTTTCCATTTTTCCTTTAAGTGCTGTTCATAAAGTCAAACAACAGTGGGATCTACATTTCTATCATCCTCCGCTAAGAAGTCAATTTCAGACACATGAACAATTTGTGGTAGTAGGAGTGGCACACCTGAATAAATGATTAACATCATTTGGGTAGGACAGGGGAGTAGTCACCTTGCTCAGACAGATATACACTGGTTTTGTTAAATTACTTGAATGCAAGCAACCTACTGGCATACAGTAGATGCCCGTTTGATTCGACTACATTATGTTACAAAGAGATCAGAGTGCTTTTAGGCTAATGATCTTATTTATAATGGATGCCTTGTATGATAAGAACCCTGACAGATGGCATTACAACTGTGTTACTGGAAGTTGAATCACCGCTTAAAAGCATGAAAGAAAATAACATTGCTCTCTTATTGGGTTTGCATTTGGCCGTGGAAGGTTGTCACTGTACACTCACTTAAGAAATTAAAGCTTTCCTTTTAATTGTCATAATTTTGCCGTTACATTTTCACATTTGTGGCAATCTTGACCTTAGATACTCTGAATCCGAGGAATCTGTAGTGTATGAAAGTAAGTGTGTATTTTCATGATTTTGATGAAAATTTGTTTGTTGTTATCACTCTTACAGAGATGGAGGAGTAAATTGTAATGGTTTAATAATAGATTTAATGATAAACGTGGGAAATTGCCAGTTTAACTGATTTTAGACTTCTCTGTGCTGTGAAGTATTTCCTATGCTTTTTCCTGTAATTAAATTGAGAACTACAGACAGCCTTTGGCAGGTAAGCAGGTTGCTGCAGTACTCTTACTGCCTTGCTTGAACACAAGTTATGTGTCTGAATAGGGAAGAGCGGTCACTGCTTATGAGCATAGCGACCTTCATCCAGTCACCTTGGCTATTTTAATGGCTAGAAATGCCACAGACGAAGACTTCACACTGTGAGGATGGTATGAAGAGTGTATTGTCTTATTTTAGGCGTGATAGGTTCTGGTTTGGTGAATCTGAGGTGTTTTTGATGTCTTAAAAGGCCTGACTGGGGAAAAAATAGCACAAACAACACAGTGATTATGTGCTGCTAAAGAACAAGGGAACAAGCTGGCCTTTTTGCAATGTTAGCATGCTGATAATGCAAAACCCTGGTGCTTTACACAGTCCATGCTTCAAGCAAAGAAAATTGACCATGATCTTAATGTGACGTAAGCACAGGTTGTGTGGTTAGTAGTCACTTGGGGCAGTTAAGGTAGATTAGGCTTTAACTGAGCTTAGAAGTTGGTCTACATGCACAGGTAATTTGTTTTCTTCTGGATTAAGAAGATTATTTACACCACAGATCTTCAGTCCCAGTTCAGAATTTTTGCCTATATCCATTTTGCTTTTTGGCTGCCTGTTTCCTTATGATACCTGTGTTTGTCCTCAAACCATCCCACATGGATGAACTAAAGGTGTAGATTTGGTAATCATCTATAGTGTTTGGTGTAAAGGATTGAAGACTGTGTCTTAGACAATGGTAGGGTCCTGTAGCTCACGATGGGGCACTACTGGCACTTTTCCACCCTCTCAGTTAGTTGGGAGATGCCACAAAGGTCTCAGGATAGAGGGTGTTGTATGGCGTACAGATTGTAAAGCCCCTTGAGGCAAATTTGTGATTTGTGAAATATAAATAAAATTGATTTGACACTTAATCAGAATTGCAGTAACTGTGATTATGAAAATGCCAATCTGTGCTTGGGTAAAAGTTCCATTAGAACTGATTCCCATAAAGATTAATTTCAACTGAGAGAAGAGGTGTGAACAATGTGACAATATCAGATTGTTCATGTTCATAATCTGACCTAGGCCACATGTTAGCAAAGGGGCATGAAGGTAGTTTAAAAGACACAGGTGTGAGGTGAACAGGTGTATGCCTTTATTTACACTGCTCTTGCTCTGTTGTTTATTTTCTCCCCTCTAGACATCATGTCTTCCAGGGAGCGTCGGTCAGATGTCTACATAAAGGCGGAACCGAGCAG